TTTGAAAATACGCATTTGAGCGTATCTCTGTCTCTTATACACATCTAGATGTGTTTAAAAACAAATGCAATGACTGAGCAAGTTGAAAACTAACATCATTAAAATTTTCATGATTTATTTTCTTGGGAAACGTATGACTTTCACCATTTACATACCCCAAAAGTGGTCACCTAGAAAGGGTCACATCAAGTGATTGGAGCCGACGTTAAGTCCTTGGAAGATATTCTTAATGATTCTTTACTTAAGAAATTTAATTCAATTATGCAAGATTCATCCCATCCATTATTTTCAGACATTATCATAAATAGATCGGGAAGGGTTAGACATAAACAAAACAAAATATCCACAAACCGTTTTAAAAATTCAGCATTGTACATCGCTTGTAATCTATTTAATCAAAAATTTTTATTTTCTGAGAAATCTATATTTAACACTCTATATGTTTATGAACGATTCTATGTCATGTACAACAAATATCTCAGAATGTATTATTTTGACAATAAAGTTGACTTGTATCTTGTACAAGTAATGGTGGCCACCTACAACCGGGCAGGCGCCCACCCCCAGGATAACATTGCAAATTACAACTAGGGCCTAGGCTAACTAACTAGGATAGGCCCTATGCTATAAAAATACTAAATACTAAAATATACTACTAGGCCTAGGGCCTAGGCCTACCTACCTGAAGTAAGCATTACATTCATCGTTATTTAATGTTTCCAGCTTAAACTTGTCGTACTTCCACCATTCAAGGTCTGCGTTTGTCGGTCTGTTAATTTCAGACAGCAACATGAATTCTAAATCGTCGATTACATCCAATGAGTAGCATGAGGCAAGATTATCAACAGTTCTATGAAGGTTAGCCATGGTCGTACGTACGTCTGCTCTGGTGTCGTCGTGCCGCCGTAGGCGCCACCTAAAAACGAAAACAACTTTTGGAGGAGTACGCGAACAGTATCTTGGCGTTGCCGTCACGCCCCATTAGTGCGTAGTAGATTGGCCGCGTAGTCAAAACGAAAAATCCCTAGTGTCACAAACCCAACACATGTAACCAAAACGTAATTTCCAGTTTCAGTACGTGCTGCGGGCGTGGAAATGAGCGTACGGCGCGTAAAAGTGTTTCTGAATATTCAAAATGACCTGAAACGTGCTTTATAT